GTCATGCCAGATTTCCCTGGAAAAATCATATTCCTGAGATATACAAGGTCCTCCTCCCCCCCTGATCACCTTTATGTCACTATTCCGATATTGCACCTCAATAACGATATTGAAAACAATGTAACTGAGGTTATTGAGGCCTAGGAATCGATTGGTGATGGTCCCAGAGCATCCAGAGGTCGACAATGATGTGATATGTCAGGTGGGCTGAAAAGTCAGTATTTTGACAATATCTCCACAACCCAACCGCCGTTTTCTTTCATTGTTGGCTCATATCATTCCTAGAAGTGCCCTCCAAGATATGTACCAGCCCACAAGAAGGAATTTTTTTTCAAGTTTGAAATGTATTTCTGAAATGACCATATAAGTGACACACACTCCAATCATCATCGACTGTAGAATGACTTGGGCGATTCTTGTCATGCAGGCCAGAGAATACCTGAAATCAGATCCAGTCCTGTGGATCCCATCTAAGATCTGGTTCGAGCTTCTGAGGAGACGGGTACGGGAGATTCAGAGGACCCAGATATCCATCGTCAAAAAGAATCCACCAAATCTTGGCGTTCTCACTGGAGTGCTCAACCACATGCTTCGCTCTACCACATCAACTCCTATCGTCTACGACTCTCATGTCCGCGAATCTCTTGCCCTCCTCGAGTACAGAAACATCCTCGAAACCGCAGGAATGTTTTTCTTGCAGGACTTCGATATCAATAGCGACACCTGCCTGGATGAGGTGCAGCAAATTGATGACGTGCATGTACTGGCCCTCATGGGCGTAAATGCAAAGGCTCAAAGGGACCGGGCAGTGAGAAGAATGGACGCATGGCAAAGCACCGAGTCGGAACTGGAGGATTATCCTCTTGGTCGCACACCAACATGGACTCGACTCAAGGCAGCCATTGCCAACTCGCCTGCAATGATCATGAGACCCTGGATGTGGTCGCCCAGATTATCCGACACTCAACTCTCCGTCGGACGTTTGGTGGTCATGTTCACCAGGCACATGTGGTTGATGCTCACGCCCGAAATCTTCAAGGGCATCAGACCCCATCCAAACTCACTTCAGGAGGCCATGAAGTGCTGGACGATCACTAGCATCGATGACACTCTTGCTGCAGTCACATTCGAAGCATGCAATGCCGGACTGCATGACAGTATGGGCATCACTCCTGGTCGCATGGGCCCGAAGTCGAGGCCCTTCCTGGACAGGTGCACTCTGTTCTTTCCCGACCCTGATGCCGCCCATAAGGACAATACTCAGTGGTCTGGGCTGTGGGAGGGAGATGGATACATCGCAGAATTTCACAGGACGATGAAGGCAATGGATGAGGATCAGCAAGAGTTGCTGAAACAAGGATTACGCGAGGTATTTTCGGATCTTCACTGTCTTCCTGCGAGCGGTGCAAGAGTGTGGATGCAAAAGAACAATGCCATTGTGTTCATGACTAATCCCACATTCTACAAGATTGATTGTATTGGAAGGGGAGGCGAGAGTCAGAAGAGGGCCCCAAGAGCACGCCGCACGATGAAGCTGATCAAGGGTAAACGCATATTTGCAGCTGACCTCATGGACTCTCAACCCTTTGACGCTGATGGCAATCTGCGGAGAAAGACAGAGAGACAGAAGCGGCGGGAAATTCAGAAGAAAATGACCATGGCCAAGAAAAACAAGAGAGTCCCCCCTCCACCACGTTCACAGAGACCATTTCCCATGACCCCACTGGAAGATATTGCGGAATGAGCGATGGATGTGGATGTACTGTATTGATAATTTTTGTGAATAGCACCTTGGCCCCACCATTGCACGAACTTGGGAACGCAAAACCGCTGTCCAAGTGCTCATATACCAGATGAACCTGAATGGCAGCTAATGGTTTCATTCTTTGGCGTGACAATCCCAGATAGATTCAGAACTGCTGCCACATGCAATACAACTCAATTGCAAGGCAACCATGGCCCCCTTTGTCGTTGGCTTGCGGGCATGAAGCACAGGATGCAAACCTGTGAATGTTAACCGCTTCCATTAGTCCACCCCCTGCCTATGAAGAGCACGATTTCATAGATCAGGGTGCTGTCAGTGGCGACGATCCAAACTAACCTAACTAACCTAATGCCATCCATTTTTCATCAACACAATTTTATTTCAAACCTTGGGACCCTAGCATGAAGCGCAGGATGCAAACCCATGAATGTTACCTGCTTCCATTAGTCCACCCCCTGCCTACGAAGAGCACGATTTCGTAGATCAGGGTGCCGTCAGGGGCGACGATCCAAACTAACCTAACTAACCTAATGCCATCCATTTTTCATCAACACAATTTTATTTCAAACCTTGGGACCCTAGCATGAAGCGCAGGATGCAAACCCGTGAATGTTACCCGCTTCCGTTAGTCCACCCCCTGCCTATGAAGAGCACGATTTCATAGATCAGGGTACCGTTGGTTGAGCCATCAGAGTCTTCATCGGCATGGTAGACCCCTGTGAGGGACGAGTTACTACTGAGCAAGTGAAAACCGCTGCCAGGTGCCAGAGCGAAACATACATTCCAATAACGTGCATCGCCTGAGTTTCCACAGCTTAGGGTGACCACTATGCATGGGAGGTAATGCTCTTCTACCCTCTGCATCGGATGCACGGCTAATAATTGAAGGTCGGATAGACATGAAGGTTAATGTGGAAACCAGGACGATATACAGAAGGTCGAGCGGCCAAAGAAAATGGGTCTCCCAGTGTTGGAGCGATGATCTGTCTTGTATAAATAAGAATGATCGGATCAGCAGATCAGCAAACAATGGGGTTGCAAGATACAAGCACCAGGATAATGTCATGTCATACCTAGGATCGATTAACAGATTCGTGCGGACCCTAATCATGTCAAGGCCCAAGTTTCATGGAGCTGAACAATGGGATGGAATGGATAAAGAAATTCGGAGGCTATGAAGACAGGGACAGTAAAGTGACGGGAATATGATGTGTGGACTCTAGGATGCTGGGGCAATCTCAGACTTGAGTACAGCACATACATACAGTCTGCTGGAGGAACACAATGTCAGCGACATTCAAGAGGAAATCATGAAGTCCAAGATTCTGGACTGGGATTGTGGGTCCAAACAGGGATCATGTTGAAACAAATAAAGGACGACAGGGCAGGCCAAGAAAGCGAGTTGTGCAGCGTCATGGGTACATTTGCTTGACCCCTATGTTCATGTTCATGACACTTGCAGGTAGCAAGCAGAAGGTAGATTTTGCGACTATTCAGGTGGACACATCCACTGGCAATGTCCAGAATTCCGGTGGAAAATGTATCATATGTGCTACCACAAGTCCAGTACCTGATCATTTGCCAGCCCAAGCGGATGTGGTGCACCACGTCCCCACTAATGAAGCAATCAGCACTGCACACGATATATTTGAAGAGGATGAGATTCACGAGGAGGAAGACAGATTTGATATGCTACAGTGAATCGTGAACTCCGGCATCCTGGATTGGAATCCCCAGGAATCATGGACTGTGAAGCATAGAACGCCTCATAGGCCACATATGGATCGACATATCAAGGAACGGTCGACATCGAAAGAAGGCAGCAGAATGGCTGAGCAGGAGGACGATACACAACAGGATAAGCTACGTCGGCCACGCAGACAACTACCAAAGAAAGGAATTTCACGTTGCCAGTCCCAGAATTGTACCTCTATTGTCTTGTAAATTACACTCGACCACGGGCAGCAAACACAATACACGAAATTTCATGAATCACAATAGTGTCAGATGTGTCGTTCACACGACAAGTAACCCATGCCAGCAAGAATCTCCGGATGATGTGGATGGAATATACTGTGGGGTGGTAATAGCACCTCCATCCCTGCCGGTGCGCACAAAGTGAACGACCAACCTACGACAGCTGACAATACCAGCAAAGAGGAAGCCATCCTTAAAAACCAAGTAGTTCACCATACTTGAACAGTCATCAAATGGTTATACTTCAACCTGGCCCTTATAAAGCATACAGAATCTCACTACAGTATATAGGGCAGATCACACAACAGAACATATAGATATGCCAGAATACCATGACAATAGTTCCAGCCTCCTCTCACTTACTATGACCATAGGAACATATCTGTGGCTTCTATGTCTGTAAATTTGCGATGTACTATACCTATACTGGTGATACCAGATGTCTCTATCATAGCGTCCCAGCCAAAGATCGATTTTTCAGCCTCTATACGACTTGCCTGGCTTCAGGTAAGACTCATTCTAGAGGGCATTTGACCATCTGAACACGTTGGTCGAGCCGGACTTCGCTCTAAACATCATGTTCCAAAGATGTCCACCCATGCCATGCTCCCCCACCCAAAGATCGATCTTTTCAGCCATCATATGGCTTGCTTATCTTTAAGTAGGACTCGTTCTAGATGTTATTGGACCATACAAACACGTTGGTGATGCCAGATTTGCCTCTAAAAATCATGTTCCAAAGTTGACCACCACCCCTATCATGCTCCCTCACCCAAAGATCGATTTTTTCAGCCTTCATATGGCTTGCTTGGCTGTAGCTAGGACTCATTATAGAGGTTATTGGACCATCTGAACACGTTGGTCGAGCCGGATTTCGCTCTAAAAATCATGTTCCAAAGATGTCCACCCATGCCATGCTCCCCCACCCAAAGATCGATTTTTTCAGCCTTCATATGGCTTGCTTGTCTTTATGTAGGACTCATTCTAGAGGTTATTGGACCATACAAAGACGTTGGTCGAGCCGGATTTGGCTCTAAAAACCATGTTCCAAAGTTGGCTGCCCCTGTCATCCACCCCCACCCAAAGATCGATTTTTTCAGCCTTCATATGGCTTGCTTATCTTTAGATAGGACTCATTCCAGAGGTTATTGGACCATACAAAGACGTTGGTCGAGCCGGATTTGGCTCTAAAAATCATGTTCCAAAGTTGTCCACCCAGGTCATGCTCCCCCACCCAAAGATCGATTTTTTCAGCTTTCATATGGCTTGCTTGGCTTTAGGTAGGACTCGTTCTAGAGGTTATTGGACCATCTGAACACGTTGGTCGAGCCGGATTTCGCTCTAAAAATCATGTTCCAAAGTTGGCTGCCCCTGTCATCCACCCCCCACTCAAAGATCGATTTTTTCAGCCTTCATATGGCTTGCTTGGCTTTATGTAGGACTCGTTCTAGAGGTTATTTGACCATCTGAACACGTTGGTCGAGCCGGATTTGGCTCTAAAAATCATGTTCCAAAGTTGTCCACCCAGGTCATGCTGCCCCACCCAAAGATCGATTTTTCTAGACTTCATATGACTAGCCTGTCCTTCAAAAGCATTTTTCCTGGGGGCTATTGAGCCCTCTGAACACGATGGTAAAGCCAGAATTGCCTGGAAAAATCGTGTTCCTGAGATATACAAGGTCCTCCTCCTCCTCCTGACCTCATGTATGTCACTATCCCGGTATTTCACCTCAATACCGATACTGCAAACATTGATCCTAAGGTATTTGAGGCCTGTGAATCGATTGGGAATGGTCCCAGACCTTCCGGAGGTCAGCATTATCGTGATATGGGAGGTTGGCTCAAATATCGGTATTTTGAACATATCTCTACAATCCAACCGCCGTTTTTCTTAATTGTTGGCTCATATCCATCCTATCGATACCCTCTATGATATGTACCAGCCCACCAAAAGATATTTTTTCACAAGTTTGAAACCTATTTCTATTTTGACCCTATAAGTCATACAGGGAATCGCTGTTCTGGGTCGACGGCTGTGGTAAAGGCATCGACATGGCGCAAGATCATGGGATAGAGTAGCACTCACGCTGACATCCGTGGGCATTTGAAGCGAAGAACCGACCTGCACAAACGCGGGAGGCATCGGCTGCGCAGCACTAGGTCCGTCCTGCGAAGCAGAGCCTGACCCAACGGCTGCCGAGCTTGTTTGCACAGGGGCATCCAATTCCCTGAAAGGGTTGTCCAACGCTTTCCGGATCAACAGCTGCATGGCGCTGTTGGGGGCACATATGTCGCAAGGGACTCCACGAGGAGGATCAGTGCACCGCAATGCGAGCTGCTCACCATCCATGCAGAGACCGTTGGTGTATCGCCTACATTCCGTGCCAAACATTACGTCGTCCAATTCTGCCAGGCAATGGTCTGATGCATGCTTCGCCTTGCTAGGTAGCGACTTTCCATGCTTGTCAGTGACATAGAACACATGAGATTCTCTGCCGTCGCGACCTGCGCGACCCATCATCTGGTTGTTGACGATAAGTCCATACGCAGGCCTGAATATCACCACATATCGGACGTTGGATCTGTCCATACCCTGAGCGAAAGCTGTGGTGCACGCCATCACCTTCGATTCGCCTCGGTCCCACAGGTCGAGGTTGTACGCCTTCGTGTTGCCAGGCTGCCAGAGCTCGCTGTGATACATAGCGCACCTAGCCTTTCTTCCAAATTCTTCTGTCTCAGCTGTGGAGCTAAAGAACACCAGCATGCGGTCTTCGTCTCCCAGAAGTAGAGATAGAGTATGAACGAGGTGATGCAGGGATTCCCTTGCCGCAATGGGTTCCACGCGTGCGACGTGCATGCCGATCTCCGGACGGTTTGTCGCAAACCTGACTTCGTTGATGTCATGCAGCAGGATCCCGAATGGCTTGACATAGCTCCCCACCCGGTGAGGAGGTATGGTCCCCGACATGAGAATCATTTGCACCGACGCCGCACTGAATTGGCGAGCAAGAGTGAGCCATTTTGACGCGCGATCTGGATGGCAGTTGAGCACGTCGTGGAACTCATCTACATAGAATCTGGTAAACTTCTTCCCGAGGGGGGACACCAGGAGACTGAGGACGTCATGTGAGTAGCTGTGGCGGCAGGATAAGAGAGGTTCTGTTACCTAGCAAAGGCTTGAGACGAACAATTTTCCACCTGCACGAAGAGCACCTGGACGTTTTCAGGCACATCTTTGCGCGCAGTATAGTCGTGGCAACGTAGTCCAGTGGCGGCGGTCTTCATATACTGTTCTTGGAGCAATGCGACGAACGGACAGACCACGATGCATTTTTCAGCCTCGTCTAGCACCGGCGGAACCATCCATAACATGCTCTTGCCTCCTCCAGTCTTCATGGTGATGACGAGGTCGTGAGTTTCAGTCATGATGGCAACGAGCGCATCCATCTGGTCGCGACTCTTTTCTGCAGCGGTAGGATCCTTCATGATCTGTCTGATCGCTCCTCGGATGCTGTTTCTCATCTCCTGAACGACGGGCGGTGGTGACGAAGACAGACCGCTATCAGGGACGATGAAGCTGGAGAGGTCGTCATCGCTGGTTAGGCTGATGGTCTCCATCTGAACGTCTGGAGCTGCGGTGCTGGGGCGACGAAGACGCTTGAGCTTCCTAGGCGCTTCCTCATCATCATCATCCGGCTCGCTGATATGCTGAGGGCGATGATGTTTGCGGTATGCCATCGGCGCTACTGCAGGTGAACTCGATAGGGACAATACAGAGGAATGGGCCTGGGTGATGCTGACGTCTCTGGCTTTTCCCTTGGAAGCATAGGCGATGGTCCTCGACGGTCCAGGCTTGCCAGTGGGTGTGAATAGCGATTCAACAGCCTGCACCTTAGCCTTCCCTGTTGAAGGATCTATGATGGAGGCGAATGAAGGCGGCCGGTCAAAAGCATGCACTGCTGTCGCCACAGCGGGTGAACTCGACAGGGCTGATGCGGTGGAATGGGGCTGTTTAATACTTTCGTCTCTGGCTTTCGCCTTGGAAGCATTGACGACGGTCCTAGACGGCCCATGCTTGCCAGCGAGTGTAAACGGCGGCGGGTGTTCAATAGCCTGCGCCCTGGACCTCCCTTTCGAAGAATTCATGACGGTGGTGAATGACGGAGGCTGGTCGAAGGCATGGGCTGTAGCCTTCCACTTGGCGGTGGCGGTGGTTGGCGAGGACTGGTCCGCATCAATAGCTCTAGCCTTCCCCTTCCATGCCCTCACCGCGGGTAATTCTCCCAGATCGCTAGGTAATGAGGCGTTAGCCATAGGGGCAGGGGTGGCTGGTGGAGGCTGGCCGACATCATAGGCTCCAGCTGTCCCCTTCGATTTCCTGACCGTGAACATTTCTTCCTGATCGCTGGTGGGCACAATGTCGGGGGAGGGGCCGGGGTCCGGCAATAATAAGTCCGGTGATATTAAATGGGAGACGGCGGCAGCAGAAGAGGGTGGAAGGGGAGAGTCTGAAAGCAAACGTCCCAATTCACTGCGCGGCGACTTTGCTGCGGTAGCATTCCCTGCAGGCGATTGAGACAGAAGCATTCCAAGGCATCTGTGGTGGTGCTCACCTGTCCCGTCCTGGAAGAACAAATCCGAGGTATTAAATTCCAGATCCATGGCAGGCGGCGCCCAGCCGCTAGACAAACTGAGTCCGGTGGGATCGTTACTTTTCTGGTGTTCTTGCAAGCTCGCAGAGACGGCGTGTTGGATGAGGGTCTTTATGTCGTCGTTGAAAAATGAGGTGAGAACGCCAGTCATGGTCTTTACGACTTGGTCAGAGATGGACTCGAAGTCGACCCCTCGCGTCGCTCTCGCGATTTCCGCACGACGCAATCGAACCGGTTGTTGAGGCGGCGAGGAACCGAGACCGAGGAAGATGTGCCATTCGTTCGACACCCATCTTTGCTGGATTATCGTGTTGTTCGACAATCTCGGTACTGATCCATGGACGATGCCGTAGTGTGCGTGGTCCGTATTAGTGGAATGATCCGCGGACTCGGCCAGAATGCTGTCAGCTTCTGCATACGACTCGTTGGGAGAGATGAATTCACGACCCATTGTGATCGTGCCTTGGCGGAAATCTCTCAATCCCCATCGACATTCGAAGTATTCATAGTTCATGTGCTGAACGTTCGCAGAGAACCTTGCCGGGCTGATTCTCTTCCCATCCCCGACACAGAGGTAGCTGGAATGCAAGAATGCAGTCAGAATGATGACCCGAGGGCCAGAGGATGCTTACGTTCTGTAGAGATGCTCTGCATCCTTGCCATACACAATCCCTGCCAGGATGGCCTCAGCGGTCCGTAGCCCCCCTCCCAAGAATTCAAGAATCCAGAAGGCGATATCTTTGGGCACAAACCCTGGGGTGCACGAGTCTCGATCGGTGATGCTCGTTTTCTTACTGTATCCGGTCAGAAGGAACATCTCGGCTCCTTGCATAAATAGATTCCTGTGTCGGTCAGCATTGGAGATTTGATGATCAATAAATTGAGTTCCGCGCGAAGAAATGTGGGTCGTGATGTAGAGCAAATGGTATGCCGGCTCCCAGATGCGCAGGGTGCGTCTCAGCAGTTCCTTGACTGCAGGTATGTTCCATGCGATGCGACCCGCGTTGTCCACCATAGCAAGGTTATACTGCTCCACCAAGAAGAGAAGGAGAGAATGGCGCTTCTCGAAAAACGGGTTCTCCGATATAAAAGAGTAGCCCCTCGTGGTGTTTGTGAGATCATCCTTCACCTGATCTGGCATCTTGGTCATCACGTTGTTGCTTTGCGTAAGGGCCCTGTAGCGTGACTTCATGTCCTGTGCTAGATGCTGGATGCCCTCTCGCAGCTTGTCCAGGTGCATCGTTTCCACCCCGATGGTGATCCATTTGAAGTCTGGATCGACGAACACTTTGGCCTCCTGCGTTTGATTGAACGCCAGAGATGATGCATACTGCTGCATTTCATAAATCATATTGAATGACGTAGGGCGACCCAGCGACAGCGCTTTCTCGTGTACACGAGCGACGCGCCTGGTGAAGCCATGCGGGTTCAGTTTTTAAGTAGAGAGTAAACGTCACGAGTCGCTCACTCGAAGTCATCTGGATGCACGCCGTCTGTATCCTGGTCTTTGTCCAACAATGCTTGCAGGATCGCAACCAAATTGCAAAAGTACTTCCATTTTGCGAGGTCGGGAGTGAGATCCGTGGCTTCATAGAAATTTCCATCCGCGCGCAATGCCTTGAGCCAGATGGCTCTCTGAATAGGGTTTGCCCACGATGCATCGCACTGCGTCGGGTCGGCATCGACGAGGGACCAAGCCAGATTGTGGTAGGAAATCATCCTGCTGCGACGCGAGGCATGGGGATCCTGCAAGAGCATTATCAGCTCCTCCAGGAGACGGGTTTGCTCTTCGGAAAGGGAGAATGAGAATTTAAGAGGGCAATCTAAGTGAAGGCAAATCATGCATCGGACGAATTGTATAATATGATTGGGATAGTTCTTGTTTGATTCTGCGACCGGCTTCCAATATGTATCCCTGTGGACGGACGGAAGGAGGGTCAGCAAAGATGATCCCAAGCGGTGGTGAAATAACTCGCGTCTCTCGGGGTATGTTTTTGCCGTGCACCAAGATTTGCTTAGGCTGAGCTTCTGGGGATGACCATCCAAGATAGTCGCTTGCTTTGTGGAAATGATCGTCTACCGTCTCAGCGAGTCAGGGTGAGGATGCCATCGTGTTCCTTGTCAGCGTGCTGCTTCTTGATTTCTTGTGCCGCTCGTCTCTGCGCGGGGTTCATGCGGTTTTCTGTCATGAACGTGTCCCAGGCCATGCAGCGGACAAGCGGGGTGCGTTCTCGTTCCGTGTCAGCGGGAACGACCAAGGGAGCATCCAATCCAGGCAAGAACGTTTCTTTGAGCCTGTCTTTGAGCTGAGGTCTGGCTCCTGGAAGAAGGTCGTTTGAGATCTCGAAAATATGAGCCTCTGACCCCAGTGAAAATCCGATTGAACGAGGCATGCTCGATGTCGAACGTTTGCTAAGGGCTCCGTCTTGTGCTTCTCCCTGCAGTGCCTTTGCATGGTTGGCAAGTCCTTGACAGAGTAGGTGCAGTCAGTTGACATAACACATGCATAACCGGCGGTGGGGGGACTGATGAGCTGAATGGGAGGTCCTCCAGCAACTTGGTAGCTTGACGCACTCGGGTTTTTCGTAAATCTCGGCTTCGGAGCAGAAAGCCAAGAAAGCCTGTTGAACAGCTGTAGAAGGCACCTGTTACGTGTCGTGGTTTAGAGTCAGTGAGTTTCGAGGCGTGCATGACCGATGGACATGCCTCGTACGAATGTTGATGTTTCTTTCTGTGACCGACCACCATCCCAGAGGTCAATGGCGCTTGGCACGTATAGCATATCAGTATTTTCAGCTCCACATGCCACACAGACCCCCAGCGCATCAAGAGCCTCGTTCGACTTCAAGTAGTCCACCGACGGCAGGAGTTTAACCGTGTCAGAATCGACAGGAGACCCATCGTCGACTGGACGTATATCATTAACATGCTTGAGATTGATCGATGCCGCCATTCTCACCTGTGGGAATAATCCCCTGAGGGGACGGAGTCCCTGGCACAAGAGCTTGCGCTGAGACATCACGGTCTTGGTCCATCGCTGAGCAACAAAACGGCACGGGTCAATACAAGGCGATCATTAGCAGCTGTCCGACGATGCTCACGAGTATCACGAGTGTCAAAGACCTTGATGGAGACGCCGCCGTTGTGGTCAGCGATGACGTGCTTCTGCATGTCGTCGCGCTTCCTCAATTCTTTGTCACACCCAGGCAATGGGCAGGCATAGTGAGTGTCGGATTGTGCCACGATGTACTCGCGTCCCCCGATGATGAAGGAAGCAGGGAAGGAGTGATAGCGCCATTTGTGTTTTCGGGCCTCTTCATTGGTGTATGGGCCGCCTTCGCAGTCAGGAAATTCACAGTATTTGGACATCTATATGGCGAGCAGAGGATATGCAGATATAGGTATGTCTGGTGCTGTATAGTTGGTGGTCGGAAGCTTTGAGCACATGCAGTCTTATACAATTTCCTGCGACGATCAACAATCCTAAACCTGCAGGGATGTAGCATAATGCGACTGCGACAGGCTGAAAAAAAAAAAAAAAAAAAAGAAACACACCCAAAGAAAAAGAATGAAAAAAAACGACAGTTAGTGGTCAGAGGAATGGAGGGACGGACCCTTCAACCTTAAGATGAGCATATATGGTGCGTAGATCAGCAAATCGAAGCACCCCTGGTCACGCTTAACATTAAAAATGGAGGGACGGAGCCATTTGGAGCGATCGCTGCCTACATTAAAAATGTCGCACCAATACAAAGGTTTGCGGAGCATTAAATCCAAGAGCCCATCGCATTCATACACAGGACCCAAATAGCTTCAGTTCAGTACGTCCGAGCGCCCTATTTCGGAGCATAATCCAGACTTAGACATTTGCTTGTGCCAAACAGGCTTGGAAGCGTGCTGGCCGTCGGCCCTGCTGCAGGTTTCAAACCAGGGATTAACATACGGAGCCCGAATGGGACTGTCGAACAACAAAATAGGAACGCGGATCAACAAACGCAAGTGCCCTGGCTTGGGAGAAGATACATTTACCGGTTGCAAAACGGGTTTGGCACCATGGCGTCCATTCCCTGCCAACAGGAAAAAGGCTGTGGCATTGTTTTTCCTCCGTCAGGGGTTGGGTTTTCGGCCATCCGATTTATTCAGATATGTGATGTGCTGTAATGCACCGCACCTTAGTTTTCTTTTTGACTTACTCAACCCCACAACGACCACAGCACTCAGTCTACTGGTAAGAGTATCGATCAATCTCTGATGCCCCAACCAAATCGCACTTGCAGGATGATATTTCGATGGGTTCGTTGAGCTCTATACGACCTCAGGATGACATGAGAAACGCCCAACAGATGCATAGCGAGGACGACCGCACTGCATGCATTATGTCATGTTTGGCCATGTGTATTCTTGGTTTATCTTTGCAACTTTCTCTCCTTGTGCTCCAACCATCATGTAGACGTCTCTCTGTATGGAGAGACGCGCTTCTGTCTTACTTCAAGAAGTCTGCATGATGGGGTCACTCCCCCTCTTTCTGTACATGAGAGAGTTTCTGGGCTGTACATGCCTGGTTGGGTGTTGGCTGGATCAGCTATTTTCCTCTATGTGCTCCAACTGTCATGTAGACGTCTCTCTGTATGGAGAGACGCGCTTCTGTCTTACTTCAAGAAGTCTGCATGATGGGGTCACTCCCCCTCTTTCTGTACATGAGAGAGTTTCTGGGCTGTACATGCCTGGTTGGGTGTTGGCTGGATCAGCTATTTTCCTTTATGTACTCCAACTGTCATGTAGACGTCTCTCTGTATGGAGAGATGTGCTTCTGTTGTACTTCAAGAAGCTCTACATGATGGGGTCGCTCCCCCCTCTTTCTGTACACGAGAGTCTCTGGGCTGTACATGCCTGGTTGGGTGTTGGCTGGATTTGTTTTCGCATTTCCCTGTCTTTCTGATGCTCTCTTGTCGAGCGATCCTTCGATGAAGGCCAGGTAAATTGTTTTTGCTTTTGTGACGTTGCTGACATGTAAGGTGACTCTATCTACGTCCGCAGTGAGGCACGGGGGTCTCAGGAATCTGCATCCCTCGCGATCATGGATTGTTGTCGCTTTTTGAGGTGCCGACCAGTGAGTTTGTCTAACTTTTGACTTCATCACCCATCAATAATGCGACCTTGAAGGCTGGGCAGAGTATTTTCGCTCTTTTGAGGCATCGGGCATGCAACAGCATGTCAGGACGACGTCAAATTCCTTTCCGTCTCTTCGCAACCACTCATTCCGACTTTCTGTCCCTTAGCGCGACCTTTTGCTGAATTCACCTGCAGCTCGCTGTACGCGAAGTGTGATTGGAAATGGTTCTGTGATTATGCGCGTAGAGTATGTAGCAATACACCTATGTAATTATTACCAGGTAAATACAGAAAATGAGGGGTGAGCAGGCATTGCAGCTGTATCACAAGGTTTAGGCATGCAAAATAAGCGACATCAGTGCGATGTTGGATGCCCTTGATGCCTGATGCCAGTGACTCTATATGTTGCTGCACAGTGATGAGACGAAGATGAGGTCGAGTCATACGATGAAACCGGGGTAAGAACGGTAAGAACGCGGCCCATCTCGCATGACAGGGGGGGACGGACATGAATGTGGAAGAGGTGACGGCAAGGGGGGACGGCCATAAAGGGACGGGGACGGCCATGAAGGAAAGGGGGACGGCCATAAAGGGACGGGGACGGCCATAAAGGGACGGGGACGGCCATAAAGGGACGGGGACGGCCATAAAGGGACGGGGACGGTTGCATAAGGGGGGGGGACGGATGCAAATGCAGAAGAGGTGACGGCAAGGGGGACGGCCATAAAGGGAGGGGGGACGGCCATAAAGGGACGGGGACGCTCCCACGACGGAGAAAGCACGGATTTCGATCGAAAGAAGGGCGGAGGCCCCAAAAAAGGACCGTGCGAAGGGGGACGGGGGGACGCTTACATGAGAATCGTCCCAATAAGGCAGGAGGGGGACGGGGACGTTTGCACCCCTGCAGACGGACAGCACATTATAGATAGCGCATTTTTGCTTATATAAGCAGTCCCACTTGTCATGCTGCCTCCCCCCAAGATTGATTTCCCCAGCCTTCATATGACTCGTCTGTGTTTGACTAGAACTTGTTCTTGAAGCCATTGAACCATATGAACATGCTGGACATGTCTTCTTGGTCCATAAAAATCAAGTTCCAAAGTTGAGTTGAGTCCACTGCCCCTATCTTGCTGCCTCCCCTCAAGATTGATTTCTTTGGCCCTCATATCGCTTGCTGGGGTTCCTGCAGCACTTGTTCCCAAGGCTATTGAGCCCTCTGAACGAGCTGGCAATGCTCGATTGGTCCAAAAAAATCAGGTTCCAAAGTTGACCACCCCTGTCATGCTGCCTCACCCAAAGATCGATTTTTTCAGCCTTCATATGGCTTGCTTGTCTTTAGGTAGGACTCGTTCCAGAGGTTATTGGACCATACAAACACGTTGGTGATGCCAGATTTGCCTCTAAAAATCATGTTCCAAAGTTGACCACCACCCCTATCATGCTCCCCCCCCAAAGATCGATTTTTCAGCCTTCATATGGCTTGCTTGGCTGTAGCTAGGACTCATTCTAGAGGTTATTTGACCATCTGAACACGTTGGTCGAGCCGGATTTCACTCTAAAAATCATGTTCCAAAGTTGTCCACCCATGCCATGCTCCCCCACCCAAAGATCGATTTTTTTTCAGCCTTCATATGACT